CCTTTGGTTTTTATCATGTTTGTTGTTTTTGTTGTGTGGCATACCAACAGGATAACGGCAATCATATTTGAGTGCACAAAGCTATAACTGAATGAATGACTGACGAACTGACTGGCTGACTGTCGGACTGCCTGGATGACTGCAGTAAACCTGTCAAAATCAATGTACATTCTCTTGACTGTTGTGGTTTTGTTGTTGTTGCTGTTGTTGTTTTTGTGTGTGTATTCCTTCGTTTCGTTTTCCTCACATTTGCGGCAAGCAAGGAACAATGAACGTCAGGATGATACAAACGAACAAAACAACGAAGTTCGCACAATACAAAACAGAACTTATGTTTTGCCACTCTCATACACACACGTACCCCCACAGAAGAGAACGTGTCACACAAAGTCATCCATGTATGCTGATGATGTTTCTCCTCCACTCCATTCTACCCTGCCCAACACCTCTTCTCTAAAAAGCAAACAAAAACCCAGGTTCTGAATACCTTCATTCATAAAACTCAACGTTTGCACAAAAGCTTAAGACAAATATGGACGTATAGCAAACATAAGAGGTTGTTATTATTCGGGGGATCGGTCGGAGCACGTTCCTGGGTTATGAATCTTAGAAGTAATATGACATTTATGGAAGTTATAAAAACAACCAGAAAAACATGCACATTAACCTTGGGCGATGTTATGTGCTTTTAATGAACTCAAAGTTTCTTGTGGTGGTAATTGAAAATATAAATACTCTCAAGGGTTTTTAATTTCCATCTACCAAAAAATATATTCCCTTGATCCACTCATTGACCTGATGCTGTGTACGTACTATCGGGATAAGTGATTTCATGCGAATGATTATGACAGTGATGATGACAATGCTAGTGCTGGAGTATGGAAGTGTGTAAGCACAGCGCACTCTATCTACTCGAGTATTGAGGGAAGTGGCAGATTTTTCTGCAAAATACAACCAAAAAAAACTCCATATTCATAACAATCATTTGACATATGACATGGCTGAAATAACAACAATAAATTGTTAAAAACTTCGATTATTTTACATCCTTTTAAATAGCAGGAGATGATGACGATGTTGCTGATAAGAGTTGTACAGTTGTTTGGTTTTTAATATGTTACGGATTTGAAGTCAATACCTGTATATTACTGGTATTTAAAATTCGATATTACTAGCATATACAAGTTACATGCCTACGTTTTAATACTAGCCGAAAATGTTGGCAAGAGTTGTCATATTTCATCCCAGTTAAGAGAGTTCGTAATTAAAAACCACAACAGAGTTAGGATTGCCACTGTTCCGGGTTAGCTGTAAAACCACAAACTGAGGCAGGCCAAAAAGGTTTGGTCAGCATAAAACCAAAATATGACACACAACGACGTAGGGCTTAATTTTGAAGCCATTCACCCCTTTTTTGTTGCATGGGGAAACCGCAAAAAGAGGAATTTTACCATGACTCTTTAAAATTTAAATAACAATTTGTATTGTGCTTTTTTTTTATTAAAATCGTCCTATGGTCGTTTAAAGTTGTAATTTAAACAATTATTTTTAATTATTTTTAAAGAATAATTTTTTAATAATTATTATTGAAAAAATTATTTTTTGTTTTTTTTTTTGAGAGAGAGAGAGAGAGAGAGAGAGAGAGAGAGTTTTCGCACACCCTAGAACCAAAATAAATATTTATTAACATCCACTTTTAATAGTCAATTTCCTAACATTTCCACTGTAGGAGTATGGACTTTTATTTCCAACCCCACTTACACTCCTTCAACCTTCGATGCAACGAATAATGGGGGGTTTGTTATATGCGACAAATTTTGGGGAGGTAGACCGCCTTCCTTATTCTTACAATTATCTCTTGAAAAAAAGTATAAGATTTAAGTTCGACCGGGCCGATCTTAGCATAACCTCCAACCGCGGAAGAGTAATTTTTTTAGATTCTTTATATAAGGAATATTAAACATAAGTAAACCTATGCAACGAACAATTCCCCTCCAATAATTCCAAAGTGCTGGGTTTTTTGAAATACGTACTAGAACGGTACGAAAAGTACTAGATGTGGTATCATTTGTATTTGGCGAACCGGTAGAGCTAGAAATTTTAAATTTGAAATAAGGGTCACTGATGGAGTGTCCTATGAATGCAGCAAAGGAAATTCGAACTATAAGTATCCGAAAAGTACTAAATTTGGTACAATTTCGTAGCATGTGAAATTTGGAATGCGAATTTGGGGTAGAGAAGTAGGGTCGATATAAGGAGATGGTTTTGGATTGCGAATTGGAATGCGAATTTGGGGTAGAGAAGTGGGGTCGATATAAGGAGATGGTTTTGAAAGCGTCTACTCATGTGTACAAAAAGTACTATATAGTACCATATTTGCTATAAATTTGATTTGGAGGTACAAATCGAGCTCGAAACCTGAAAATTGAAACAATTTGATTTCTTACTAATGTGTACAAAATTGTACGAAATTTGGATTTGGGTGAACCGATAGAGCTGGAATGCTCAAATTTCGAAATATGGTTACTGTTGGAGTGTAGCATCGGGGTATGGATGCAGTTTTGGAATTTCATACTTATGGGTACTAAATTTGGTACAATTTGAATTTTGGGAGAATTGATGGAGCTGGGATCCTGAAATTTGGAGTTAGGGTCATTAGTGTACTAAATTTGGGTGAACCGATAGAGCTGGAATCTTGAAATTTGATGTTAGCATCAATTTTGGTACATTTCGAATTTTAGGTTAACTGATGGTATCATATTTTGATTTGGGTGGACCGATAGAGCTGCAATCTTGAAATTTTATGATAGGATTACTGTTGGGGTATAGGATTGGACTTGTAGAAAGTTTTGGAACTTCGTACTATCGTGTACTAAATGGTACCAAATTTGCAGTTAGGTGAACCGATACAGCGATATTGACATTTGGATTTGGGTGAACCTTTGAAAAGTGGATTTTTTCGAAATAAGTATCCTGGAATCCTGGAAAAACCCACCTAAAACACATCGACGTATTCCACATATTCGTCGACTAAAAAGTCGCATACGACAGCCCTATCCGTTCAGAGGTGTATAAAGCCATATCTGCGTGTGGCATTCCAGCAAAATTAATTCGGCTATGCAGAATAACATTATGTTGCACAAGATCAGCAGTTAAAGTCGGAAAGGACCTCTCGGATTCCTTTAATACCGAACAGTATTAACTCGCCTACACCGATGGTATCGACATAATGGGTCGAACATTGCGAGCGGTAACAGCCACCATTGAACAAATTGAGACAAAGTGAAACTGGCAGTAAACGGCGAGAAGACCAAGCTGATGGTATCACCGCGGAAGACGTCCAGTAGACTCAGACCAAATGTGGAACATCAGAACTACAGCTTCGAGGTAGTCAAAGATTTTATATACCTTGGTACCGCCATAAATAAAGCTATTCACACCAGTTTTGAAATTCGGAGAAGGATAGTGTTGGCCAACAGATGCTACTATGGTCTAGTAGCAGTTTAGAAACAAGGTCACCTTCCGCCAATCCAAACTCCCACTCCACAAGAGGATGATACTACCCATGCCTTTATAAGGATCTGAAGCATGGGCAGATGAGACAACTCTTGAAGTGTTTGAGAGAAAATTTTTCCGAAAAATCTATAAGCCGATCTGAGTTGACGGTGAATATCGCCGTCGAATGGCTCATGAGTATCGAGCTGCAGCGACTACGTTGGTTAGGTCATGTTGTGAGAATGGATGAAGATGCCCTATGTATAAAGCCATATAAAAGCGAACCTGCTGATGGTTCACGCTGAAGGGGAAGGCCACGAAATAGATGGAAAGATCAAGTGGAAGACAACATTGCCGAACATGGCATGGCATGAAAAAAAAAACTGCACAAAAGACCAACGCGCCTGGAAATTTTTTACAAGGTCGGCTTATAGAACGAAAACTCTGTCATTATCTAGCTAAGGAAGGAGTTGTGATATGACAAGCAGATTTCGGGAAAATGAAAACAATAGCTAAAACAATAAAATGTAGTGTCACCAACAATTATAAAATTTTCATAAAATGATGATAACTATGTGGAAAGAGAAAGGTCCCCGATCCACTTAATGCGATCGTAGAGTGTGAGGAAATATTTCCTAATTAACATATACGAATTTTAAATGTTTACAAATAATCTATATAAAAATAAAACATATATAAGGAAAATTATATAATTTTTCATTTCGCACTAGCAGACCGTTATATAAGAGCTATAATAAAAAGTGAACGGATATCGATCATTTTTGTTAGGGACATTTTCTATTGAATTGAAAATCTAAGTACAAAATTGCAGTCACTTCGGTGCCACCAAAACGTCGAAATACCGAAATAGGGTACTGCATATGGGGGCTATACCAAATCGTGGCCCGTTATATCCAATTTTCAATACGAAGAATTTTGTATTCTGCATTTCTTCGCATAAAGTGTTCAACAATTCGAACAACTTCTATTCCAGTTTCTATATGATAAATAATTTTATATGCAAGCAACCTATATTATAATACGCTTAAGCGCCAAAAATGACCCACATACGATGCAGCTCTTATTATGTAACATTTTTTATAAAGATATATCTCGATTCATTTACAATGAAAATTGTATACGTTTTTTTTTTAAATCACTAGTATGTTTTACATTTCTGTAATTAAATACGTATGGATGTATGTTTTAATTATAATACCATAAAGATTTATTTTGTTATTTCAGCATGCGTAAGTACGACCCCTATCTTCATTAGCCAAAAAAACAACATTTGCACTCAAATACTATTATGTTTTTGTGTGAGTATAGATGTGTGTGTGTGTGTGCTCAAAAGGTGTGCAACAAGCATACATTTTATAACACACACATAATGACAATTAGGGTATTATTATATGGCAACGACGACGACGAGTTAAGTATACTCCTCCACGTGTAGTACGAAGAACAGTGTTAGTTGCCGTTTTTAATGCCAACATCAAACTTACCTAAGTCCTGGCACCTGAGTGGCCATTGTGCCATCGCTGAGCACCCAGGAAACAATCGGTGGTGGATTGCCATGTGCCGTGCAACTAGCCTGGCTGCCAGTGTCATTGCCAAAGAGCAAACGTGATGGTGGCTCCTGCAGGAAGGTGGGTACACGTAAGCCGCTTGTGGCTTTGGCTGCCGGCGGGAATGGCAGTAATAGGAGTAATGCGCTGGTGGTTACCAAAGTAATTTCCAACAACGAAAATGAGGTGAGACAGACAAAAGCTGGAATACACAGAAAGTGAAAAATACAAAAATAAAAAAAGTGAAAAAGTGGTCGGTCATGTAACAAGTGTTGGCAATAAAAATATATACATAATTAACATTTTATAATAAAAAAATATAGGTTGAGTGGTTGGTGGGTGTTACAGAAGCAGGATGTCAGAAGCAAATTACCAAAATAATAAAAACCTCAAACACAAACCCGAATGAAAAAAGTTTGCATAACCGCAAAACATTTATTCAAACACCAACTGGCATATATAAATATACACACAGAGTATGACAGACAGACACCTGAAAGCGTTAACTTTCACTTTTCCATGTCGGAATGTCGAAACGTGGCATATGCCACTGCTACTAATTTCGTAATTTAGCTAAAAGTAACAAGTTAAAAAGCGGTAAGTTCGGCCGGGCCGAACTTTGGATACCCTCCACCATAGTTATATTGACAGGTACTATAAATGAAAATATAGGAAACATACCAAAAAGTGGACCTATACCGATATTTCTAAAAACGGATTATGTTAACCATAATAAAAATTTTCGAAATTTTTAAAGGATAATTATACCCTCAGCCTTATGGCTAATGAGGGTGTATACACTTTAACACGATGAAAATGTGCCTCATCGAAATATTGGTTCTAGACCCCATGTTTCTTTAGACCAAATCCGTTTCAGAAAATTTAGATTTCATCCGAACTTTGGCCATCTTATTATTTCTTCCAAGCTTAGTTCAAATTCGAAGATGGGGTTATCGGTCCAATCCTTCTGGAACCTCCAATCAGGGGCTAGGTCTAAATGCGGCTATAGTTCACTACCGAACCTTACGTTCTAATGTTTTACCTCTCTATCCTCCGCAGTTGAAATGATTACAAAAGGGTCTTAGAACCAAACCCAAAACGCGCAACAAATCAGATAACTATTTTAATATAAAAAAGGGGGTTATATGGGGACTACCCCAAAAAAGGGGTGAATATTAATAATTTTTGGTAGGGAGATTTGTTACCATATACGACTACAAAATACCAAATTGCAGCAAATTCGGTTGAAAACGCGCTCAAGAACCCCAAAATACCGAAAATTGGGGGGTACCCTTATATGGGGGCTATCCGAAAAAATGGACCTATATACATAATATTTGGTGGAGAGATTTGGAAGCTATTAAGAACTCAATGTACCAAATTTCAGCGTATTCGGTAGAAAAACGCGTTCAAGAACCCCAAAATACCGAAAATTGGGGGGTTCCGGTATATGGGGGATATCCGAAAAAATTGACCTATATTTATAATTTTTTGTGGAGAGATTTTGTACCTATTAAGAACCCAATGTATTAAAAACGCGCTCAAGAACCCCAAAATACCGAAAATTGGGGGTACCCTTATATGGGGGCTATCCGAAAAAATGGACCTATATTCATAATATTTTGTGGAGAGATTTGGAAACTATTAAGAACTCAATGTACCAAATTTCAGCGTATTCGGTAGAAAAACGCGCTCAAGAACCCCAAAATACCGACAATTGGGTGGTACCCGTATATGGGGGATATCCGAAAAAATTGACCTATATTTATAATTTTTTGTGGAGAGATTTTGTACCTATTAAGAACCCAATGTATTAAATTTCAGCGTACTCGGTTGACAAACGCGCTCAAGAACCCCAAAATACCGAAAATTGGGGGTACCCTTATATGGGGGCCATCCGAAAAAATGTACCTATATACATAATTTTTTGTAGAGACTTGGTACCTATTAAGAACTCAAAATACTAAATTACAGCCAATTCGGTGGAAAAATACGATCAAAAACCTCAAAATACTGAAAATTAGGAGGTACCGTTATATGGGGGCTACCAGAAAAAGTGGACCTATATTTATAATGTTTTGTGGAGACATTTAGTACCCAATAAGAACTCAATGTACCAATTTTCAGCGTATTCGGTAGAAAAACGAGCTCAAGAACCCCAAAATACCGAAAATTGGGAGGTACTGTTATATGGGAGCTATACCTAAACGTGGACCGATATATCCCATCTTCGAACTTTACCTGCCTGCAGACAAAAGACAACCCTATGCAAAATTTCAGCACCCTATCTCAATTCCTTCAGAAGATAGCGTGATTACAACAGACGGACGGACGGACGGACGGACGGACATGGCTAGATCGTCTTAGAATTTTACCCTGATCAAGAATATATATACTTTATAGGGTCGGAAATGAATATTTCGATGAGTTACAAACGGAATGACAAAATTAATATACCCTCCATACTATGGTGGAGGGTATAAAAATACTCATATTTCTTTATTTTATTCATGCGAATGTTATTATTTTAATCAGTGAAATGTGAGTTTGGAATGTTGATTAGGTTGGGATGAAAAATGTTCATATCACATAGGAAAGATAGACAGAAATCTCCACATGATAACGATAATAAATGTGAAGCCACTGAAGTACATCTGACCACTTCGATTTTTAATTTTTTAATTAATTAAAAATTTAATAATCACCTAAATAGATGTCGACGTTTGGGCATATTTAAAATCCCCATTGCCAGTAAGAATATATAAATATATATTTTTACCAGAAAGAATATGGGATAGATAACAATATGAAGTTAAATATCTGAGAGTAACGCTAGACAGGAATGGAAAGTTCACACACGCAACACATTAACAAACAGGTAGATGATAATTTTTCTGCAGCAGAAGCATAAACTCCAAATCGGATTTCAATACAAAGATGATACACAAAGAATTAAATATAAAATCACTACAAAAAGTCCGGTATATGGGGGCAATGCGTACAACAACCATTACGGCTTTGCAGACTACCGTATAGTCTACATCTACAGTATAGTCTACATCCAACTGATCTGCATATAAAATACAAAGCATTCATCATTGCTTTAATACTCCAAGCTCGGAAGAAGTACATCGATACCAGGTACAATAAACCGCACGAAAATAGAATCAAATCAATGCAATACCTGAAATAATATTGGTCACGTCATCCGAAAGTCTGATGACAGATAGTATCAAGCTAAAAAATGGAGCCTACGAAGAAGACAACGAAACGTGGGAACAATGTTTATGCTCTGTCCAATTATTAAGATATTGGGAAATTATATCTCTGATTGGCTTTAAAATGGCGTTTGGCTGCAGATTTATGGTTACCAGGAAAATAAAAGACCTCGTCTCCAGATTCCCTCCAGTAGATGAGTGAATTGATTTAATCCGTATAAAAGCGAAGTTCTTCTACATCAGTCTTATTTGCGTCCATGCTCTGACCGATGACAAAGATGAGCAGACCTAAGACATATTTTACGAGCGCCTAGACTGAAACCAATGGTCAATTACATTACTGGACCATACCAATGCGGCTTCAGACCCGTCAAATCCACCATTGATCAGATTTTCTCTCTGCGCCAGATCCTGAAAAAAGACCTACGAAAAACATATCAACACATTCCACCTATTCGTCGACTATAAAGCCGCATTCAAAAGCCCCATCCATTCAGAGGTGTTTAAAGTCATGTCTGCGTTCATCATTTCTGCAAAATTAATACGGTTATGCAGGATAACCTTAATTGGAACACGGTCAACAGTTAAAGTCGGAAAGGACCTCTCGGAGCCCTTTAATATCGAACGAGGATTCAGACAAAGTGAGAGTTTGTCGTGTGATATTTTTAACATCCTGCTGGAAAAGGTCATACGAGAGGCAAATGTGAACAGAAATGGCACTCTGTACACCAAAAAACACATGTTACACGCCTACGCCGATAACATCGATATAATGGGTCGAACATTGCGAGCGGTAACAGCCACATTTGAATAAATTGAGAATGAGGGGTTCTGACAGTAAATGGCGAGAAGACCAAGCTGATGGTATCAACGCGCAAGACGTCCTACAGCTTCGAGGTAGATAAAGATTTTATATACCTTGGTACCGCCATAAATAAAATTAATGACACCAGGATAGTGATGGCCAACAGATGCTACTATGGTCTAAGTAAGCAGTTTAGAAACAAGGCCACCTCCCGCCAGACCAAACTCACACTTTACTAGTCGCTGTTATTACCCGTGCTGTTATATGGATCTGAAGCATGGGTACTTGCTCAAGCGGATGAGGCAGCTCTTGAGGGGTTTAAAGGGAAAATTCTCCGAAAGATATACGGTCCGATCTGGTGAATATCGGCGTCGAATGAACCATCGGCAGCTCGTATTGAGCTGCAGCGACTATGGTGGCTAGGCCATGTTGTGCCAATGAATGAGAATGCCCCAGCTCAAAGGGCATATAAAAGTGAACCTACTGATGTTTCACGCAGAAGAGGAAGGCCACGAATTAGATGGAAAGACCAAGTGGAAGACAACATCTCAGAGCATGGTCTTTCAAATTGGAGGAGATGCGCACAAAATAAAAACCAAACATCTTGAAAGTATAGAACTCTCCGTGTAAAATTTAAAATCTCGATCATATATATTTTAAATTCTACCGTTATATCAACAGACCGGCGGATAAGTATATCCGCGTTACAGAATTGTATTCTGATCTAAAATATATATTTATATCAGTGTCGTTGTCAAATATCAGGTGGAGGAAAAAGAAATCAATTTTTTATATGAACTATATGACTTTATTGAACATGCTTCGGAATATGCACCGATTTTTTCAATCCTCCAATTTTTTTATCACAAAAGAAATTTTGCAATGCAAGAAAAATATGATAGTCGCTTGGTGTCAAGTCCGTACTGTATGGCGGATGCATTAAAACTTCCCTGCCAAGCTCCCGAAGTTTCTCCTGTTGGCCAATTCTGGCTGTTTCCGGTCAATTGTAAATAGTTTAAAACAGTTTTATGATCGATTTTTAGCTGCTGGGCGATGTTACGACTCCGATTTTATCAACATTTTCGACGACCGGCCTACCTGTGCATCTTAACGGAATATACGAAACCAAAATTGCACATTATTGTCTGTTACAGAATCGGAACCATAAACATCATTCACAATTTTAGCTGATTGGCTTGCATTTTCGCCGTTGTCCTGTTCACTTCCATTTTTAACACCCTGTAACTCACAACTGAATGCACCCTGAGGTTCAAAAATTCGGAGTTCGGTACGAAGGGACTTTTTATGAAAGCTATGTCAAAATATGGACCTATTTTACAATTTTTCTTCGAAGAGGTTTCCCTCACCAACAATGCGGAACGCCATATTGTTGCCACTTTCCTGGAAAAGTGCATCTAAAAGCTTCAAAACAAAGGTACTGTTATATCGGAAGTGGTTTCAATACCCAACGCTATAGGGATAAAACCAATGACCAACAAAGACTTCAGAACTCTATCTTATATGTTATGAAGTCTATCGTGATTTCAAGACACCTTCGGGCTAAACGATATAAACTTTTATTCTGATCAAGAATATATTGAGACCTACTTTATAGTTGCTTTATAGTGTGTTACGATGTTACCTTTCCAAAAAGGCCAGGTCGTAAACATTTTTTCATAAGAAGAAATATCTGAAAATCTTTTGCAATGAAATGAAATATACCAGGGAATCTTGAAAATCCGCAATTGATGACTACGATTTTTTTCTTTAGTAAAATTAATCCTATATGACAATTTTTAACGTTGATAATGGTTGGACAAAGGCTTAGGCTTTCCAAAGTCAAAAATTTATCGGTACGTTTATAATTCAAAATACATTCTTTTCGTTTTGTGCTCATTTTAAGAATGAATGTATGGCGATAAATCCTTTACCAAACGAACATCAACAACGTTCGTTCGTTTCACGATTGAAAACAAACATTCCCCAATTCTCGTGAATGCTCAAAACGGCAATCTTTAAATTGATACCAATTATATATGTTCTCAGATGTGGGAATTACACTTAAATATTTACAGGTGCTTACGTATTTAAATATTATTTAGTAACCCATTACCGGAAATATAACACTGATCGATTTGAAGTTTTCCATGGGGTTCCAGTTATGTTCAAAGACAGCGCTTATAATTTTTGGTGATGATCAGATAATATTTTTGGGATGAAGTGGACCGAAAATTTATTTTTTTGCACTTTTTCGAATCGATCTATAGGCCACAGTTATAAACCGATCATCACCATACAACCCACGCTGAAGTCAATCTGGACAAGTAATAAGAAGGGCTGTACTGAATATTAGTAATATTCGGAAAATATGTCAGTGTATGGCAGATGTGATATTGACCTCTAATCGGGCAAGCGGGTACAAATGTCACGAAATATTTCCCAGGCACGGAATAAATTTCCTTAGAAAGTTAGAATTCCGTCGTAGTTATGTAGGGTATCGTATGGTCGGCCCCGTCCGACTATACTGCTCTGCTCACTGTTTTTCCTGCAGATGTGTCTACGAGTTAGAATTACGGGCAATTGGAAGTTACACAATCTTGGCATTAAATAAAAATACATGAAGAAGTCCTCATTATTATTGTATGGAGTAAAAAAACAAATTTCCCTGGAACCAACCTAATATTGCCCTGAGTTGCTTGCTTAAAATATTATCATCTGACAAGCATATTCATAAAAGAAACACACATTAAACATATGTATTCCAATGAAATCCTGAACTGGTGTCTGTATGTCTGACTGTCTTTCTGCTGGTGAACACATATGTATGCCTGCAGCTACTTTGACGCTTTCTCAAATAAATGTGCCACAGCCAGGTTTAAATATTTACTGCAAACTTTCTGCTGATGGCCCGCAGTATTACGTTTTATCCACAAAAAAAACTTCTCCGAAAAATTAGTTCAAACTGAAACCGACTTGACGACAATCAAAGTCGCACATGGCCTCCATTTTAGGTTGTTGCGATGGCGGCGAATAACCTTAATACAGTTTTATCCCAAAAAACAGAAACCAAAAGGACTAAATGTTGAAATCAACTGGGTGAGTAGGTGGTGGTGAATGAGGAGAAAAAAACAAAGAAAGAGGCTCAAACGGGAGATTACGACTTAACATAAAAACAAAAACACAGAAACAAAATATAACTTTACCTTTTGCCTTGGTAACAATTGCGGCTGTACTCATTGCTGAGCATGTGCTTGGGTTTTATACGTTTTTGTAGGGAATTTCTCGGTGATTTGTGTCTCAGATCGTTGTTGCTGTTGACTTTTTTTATCTTATTTTGCTATAAATGCGTAGGTTGATTGCTGTTCGTTGGTGCTGTCGTCGTAAATGGCAATTTTGTTGTGTTTTGTTTTTAAACCTGAGTTATCTGGAAAAGAAAAGAGAAAATATAGACAATTAAAATTAATTTATAATACTCAGATAATAGGATAGGATTTTATTTCTATGAATAATTGATTTTTAATAATGTCTGATGACAGTTGGAAAAAATGGAAAAATAATAATTATGAAAATAAATCCAAGTCGACTGAGTGAAATTATTGGATAGTATTAATGTTACCATCGCAGACAAGTCAATGTGTTTTCAATCCAAAAGGTGGCTCATTTTTTTAAATAATTTGCAGAAAACAGCAAGTTCAATATAGTGTTTAAGGGGTAATGTCAACTCATTGGGCGCCGAAAATTATTACTTTCATACCCTCCACCATGGTATGGAGAGTATTTTAATTTTGTTTTTCCGTTTGTAATTCATCGAAATAATAAATTCCGACCCTATAAAGTATATATTCTTGATCAGCGTAAGATTCTATGACGATCTAAGTATGTCCGTCCATCTATTGTCTACCGCCTAAACGAATTGATATAGATCACCAAAAATTTGCTGCAGACAGGCCATGTTGGAAGATGGGCTATATCGGTCCACGTTTAAGGATAGCTCCCATATAAGTGCACCGCAAATTTTCGATATTTTGGGGTTCTTGAGCACGTTTTCAGCAGAATTCACTGGAATATGGTAACAAATATCCATCCCAAAAAATATTAATATTCGACGATATTTTCGATGCTAGTATCTTTTAGTATACCTATGGTGGAAGGTATCCAAAGTTCGGCCCGGCCGAACTTAACGCTTTTTTCACTTGTTTATATTAAAATAGTTACCTGATTTGTTCCGTGTTGTTCCGTGTTCCCCATATATGCGTATTCTACCATTGTATTGATGATAGTTGTTACTTGAAATAATCAGTTTTTACCGTACAAAGTATGGAATTCTAAGACGAATTAGCCCTCTGTTGAAATCATTCCGCCTTCTAGGATATCGTGATAACAAACATCGAACCTGACGATAATGAAATATATCGGCAGGAATTTAGAAATTGACAAATAATGGTCATTAATTAGGCATTGCCCTCATATTATGATAACCCCCAATATTCTCATATAACGTTGCAATCTAAATTCCAGTAGTTAAGGTATTACATACTCTTCCATGCGTCATCAGTATAAGTCCTAGTTTTCGGTTTTTAGATTTTAGGAAAAATTCATTGTTTTGTAAAATGGGCCCACTTTGATTTGTTCCTTATATTTTTTATTGCAAGTATATATTATATATTTTTATTGTATCTGCCAGCGTATCAAAAGTTCAGCCCTGCCGAACTTAACGCTTTTTGCGCTTGTTTCATTATTATTTTTCTCATAAAATCTTTTTATATTTTGGGCATTTTCAATATGTCCAGACTTCTTTATATAAAGTCATATGTTACGTATACTTATTGCACACGATTTTTCAAAGAAGTATACGCACCGAAGGACATATTAATTCCTCATGTGCTTTACACTGTTTCACATATCCAGTGCCTAGATATTTGAAAATAGTTTTATCTTATAAGATACAATTGTATTTAGATAAATTATTATTAAAATGTTCTCCTCTGTCCAAAGTTCAACAAAATTTATATCATAAAAATGCCTTCATTATCCGTTTTGCCTACTATAACAAAAACATTCTACATAACAAATTTATCTTCTTGAACTTTTTAGCCGGAAATTTTACAAATTCCACCTACATACTTTTAAGTGTCGGCAAATTTCCCTCATTATGTGAACCCAAAAATATGTTTTAAGCACATAATGATGACAATAAAAATATTTCCAACATTTATCGTTTTAATCGAGCGCCTGTAAACATATTCTCGAGTTTGTTCTCCACGTTAGCTGTAGTGTTGAAAATAACACACACACACCCATTTGTAAACATACGAGCCCGAGCTTGTAGATTCCGCCAGTGTCATTATGCTCTGAGCTATAAATGCATTAGATAGATAGACACGACACACTCATGTAAAAAGGGATGCCAAAAATAAATATGTTGAGATTTTGTGTGTTGCTCTGTTGTTGTTGTTGTTCCATTACAATTTGTTTTGAGGCAAATCTACAAAACAAAAAAAGTTTATTTGTTTTACAGATATGTAACTTTTCCGTTGTGTTCATTTTTTGTTTGCTATTTCGTGTTTTTTGTTTCTTCTTCTTCTAGCCAACATTTGGCTCAAAAGCGACAAAACAAATATAATCATGACACTCATCAACATATACAAATGAGGTCATCATCCCACTTTTTTGTATTGCCTTTTCTTGTCACACACATATTGGAAAATGTATGTATGGTCATATGTGTTTGTGTGCACACATCCAGCATTTTATGCTTATAGCTGGCATCCATAAGAGGTAACCTAAAAAATTGGGATAATAACTTTTGATTTCAAAAGATAAGCAACACAAAAAAGAAAGGGATGTTAAACACATTCAGTTTTCCCACTTTGCTCGTATCCATAATAGTCTTATGGAAATAAGTTTTTTAGTTGTATATGTGTCTTTATTAGCTAGGCGAATAGGGGCACATACAAGGCTCGAAAACTATTAAATATTTATATGATAGTCTACTATAGAGTTGATAATAATAGTAGGCTATTGTGGGTTATTATTTTTTAAAAGAAAATATTAAATAAATTACTTCCCCAAATGTTGTAATCCTAAATCTAAGGCTTTTAAATAAATTACATAAAATTATAATAATTTTGCAAAATATTTAAATAAAAATATTAAAATTAATATATGTATACCCCTTAAATCCGTAAATATGCAGTAATATCAGTTTATCGCAGTATTGTTAGGACCGTAGCTAACACTATGAATTTTCTTAACGAGCCGCTGGAATTCCATAGTGGTCATCGAGCAATTTTGCTGTTAAATTATATACCTGTTAGACTAAAGTTTCCTATCTTCGGACCTGATTAGATGCCAAGAGTGAATAAAATCGATAAATCGATTCAATTCATATGGGATTTATAAGAAGTTTATCGGTCCACGTTTTGTTATAGACTCCATAATACGTACAGCCATATATATCAAACGCATTCGGAGTTCTTGGAACATGATAAAAAATATATTTACAGAGTAGAATTGATATAGTTTAAGGCTACTCTATATGAAGGTTCCATATAGAGCATAGGCCGAAGTCACTGAAATTTGGCGTTTCGGGTTTTTAGTGGACAAAAAGTTCCTCAGTTCCTAATTGTGACCTAAGTCTCACTAAAGTTCTGGCCAGCTAAACTTATAGAGTTTTTGATTTGTTGTATCTTTGACCTCAAGATGGAGTGTATATTGTGTATATGGAGTGTATATTGAATATATATATATATATATATATATATGCCGATTTATTCATGTCTATAAAAGGCGTGGATTTTTAAAGACAAATTTTTCAAGATCTACTATAGGCGTGGAATTTGTAAAGAATATTTGTTCAAGGTATACTATAGGTGTGGATTTTGTAAAGAAAATTTTTGAAGGTCTATAAAAGGCGTGGACTTTCTAAAGAATATTTTTTCAAGGTCTCTGAAAGGCGTGGATTTTTTAAAGAATATTTTTTCAAGGTCTCTGAAAGGCGTGGATTTTTTAAAGAATATTTTTTCAAGGTCTCTGAAAGGCGTGGATTTTTTAAAGAATACTTTCAAGTTCTACTATAGTCGTGATGATTTTAAAGAATACTTTTTCAAGTTCTACTATAGTCGTGATGATTTTAAAGAATACTTTTTCAAGTTCTACTATAGGCGTGAAGTTTTTAAAGATTTGTTTTTTTTTCAGAGTACTAACCACAAACTTTAACAATTTTGAAAATTGGCAAATTAATAAAAAAATCATCGACCTCGATACTGATACATAGACTGAGGATATATATGTCGTCAACACCGACTGACACTTTTTTACTTGTTTAATTATAAACGTTCCTGACCGTATATTTAATAAAAATATTTGCAAGTACAGCAGAACTCCCACTCAAATATTTGAAAACATTTTTTTTTCTTTTTTGTATTCTCCTATCCGTGTACATATTAAAATGTTTATCAATTCGAAGGTCAACAAGTCATCTTGGATACACTAGCATATTTTTCTGGACTATGTCTTCCCGGATGAAATGTAAATACCATTGACTGAAATGTTTGTATTTTGTCTATAACAAAATGAATTATATTTGATGTTGAACGATCATCATCAAAACCACCATGGTTGTTCGTTGGCCAGATCAATTTCCCCATGTACAATTTAAAATATTAACGCCTGATTTGTTATAAAGTTGTTGGTCCATTCGATCTTCTAAATAGATGGTGATTCTTAAAGGAGCTGTGGGAAAGTTTTTCAAAATTTTCTTGCGATCGATATAATTTAATTTTTCAAGATTATTTCATTCAAATGTTGACCGCAACTGCACCTCAAATAGTACATCGGCTTACTTATAAAGTGGATCTACGTCCAACTTTCCAATAGTCCAGTCACCAGTATTCTGAGTTGCGGTAGGTTGTTCGGCTGCAATTCTTCTCACATTTCCGAAAAACATAGCCCCAGCGAACAGCGATAAGATAATTATACAACATAACAGATCACGCATTTTTATAATAAAATTCATTGATTTGCATATGTTTGACACTAAAAAAACACGAAACGTGCGTGAGATGTTTAAAACAGTATTGCCAACATGATAATAGCTGAAAATCAGCCTTTATTACCGATCACTACCAAAAACATTGACGATATACTAAATGGTGGATCTAGGACCAATATTTCGTGGCACTACAAATGTTTGAGGCACACATTTTTATAATTCAAAACAGATATTTATGCCATATATTTGTCCGGAATATA